TTAACAACAGAAATTAATTATGAGATCTATGACAAAGAACTTCTTGCAATTGTGGATTCTTTTCAAGAATGGCATCATTATCTAAAAGGCGCTTTCAGTCTAGTCACCATGTATATGGATCATAAGAACCTCGAGTATTTTATGTCAGCATGCGTATTAAATCATCGTCAAGCTCGTTGGAACATGTCTTTATCAAGATTTGAGTTCATCATCACTTATTGGCCAGAAAAAAAACAAGGTTTGTCCGATGCCTTGTTTAGACGTTCTTATCTTGTACCAAAAGAAGGTGATGCAGCTTTTGAGCAGCAAAGAACTGTTCTCTTGAAGCCGGAGCAATTTCATCTTCGAGCAATAAAATCAACATTGACTACTGATTTAACTTTTCTTAAACAAGTCCAGTTAAGTATGTCTTCAGACCTTCTTATTCATGATATCAAGAATAATTCTTCTAAATCTCATGATCCCTCTAAATTTGAATTTAAGAACAACCTACTCTATTTCGAAAGATGCCTATATGTTCCAGAAGGAGAAGCACGTTTACATATTCTTCAAGCTCGTCACGACTTCTCAACAGCAAGACATTTTGGATATAATAAGACTTTGGAGCTGATATCTAGGGATTTTTGGTGGCCTCAAATGTGGAAGGCAGTCAAAGATTTTGTACTGTCATGTGATGTTTACTCAAGATCAAAAACTCCTTGTCATCGACATTTTGGACTTCTTCAACCATTATCCATTCCAAAACAACCATGGTCTTATGTTTCTATGGACTTCATCACGAATCTTCCAATCTCAGGTTCTTATGACTCTATATTCGTGATAGTAGATCATTTTATTAAGATGGCACATTTTGTACCATGTACAAAATCTATCACAGGTGAAGAAAAAACTAAGCTCTTTCTTGACAATATCTATCGCTATCATGGATTATCCAAGGATATTATATCAGATAGGGAAACTCAATTTGTATCAAGATTTTGACAGACTCTTTTTAAGATTCTAAAAATAGATATAAAACTATCTTCGGCATTCCATCCTCAAACTGATGGACAAATGGAGCATATTAATCAAGTTTTGGAGCAATATTTAAGATGTACCATTAATTACAAATAAGACGATTGGACAACTCTTTTGTCATTAGCAGAGTTTGCTTACAATAACACGGTACATTTTTCTACAAAACAAACACCTTTCTTTGCTAATTATGGTTATCATCTACGACTTGATACTTTTGACTTCTCAAAAGTTGATAATCCTACTGCGAAAGATTTGGCGATTCATTTATCAGAGCTACATGCAACGATGAAGGCGTAGTTAAAAGAGGCTCAAGAACAACAAAAGGTCAATGTGGATGTCTATCAAAAGAAACAACTACCATTCCTCTTGGGTGATAAGGTATGGCTACTTTGTCACAATATCAAGACCACTCGTCCTTGTGACAAATTGGACTATCGAAGACTTGGACCATTTTTTATTTCTACACAAATCAATCTAATTGTATAACATTTACATCTATCGGAGTCAATGAAAATCCATCCAGTATTCTGTGTGTCTCTTCTTGAACCATACAAGACAGTGGACATACCAAGAAGACGACAAGCTCCACCTCCTCCTATAGAAGTGGACAATAATGAAGAGTTTGAAGTAGAAGAAGTCTTAGATTCAAGGTGGCACCAAAATAAATTAGAATATCTTGTCCATTGGCGCGAATATGATATTAGTGAATGCACATGGGAGCCAATAAAGAATCTTACAAATGTAGCAAAGGTGGTGGAGGCTTTTCATCAATGACATCCATCAAAATCAAGATGAAAATCTTCTTTATAAAAGAAACAATATCTAGGCAAGATAACATTCTATTTTCAATCCTTGTTTGTAGCTTCTTTGCAGTAGTGACGCTCAAGAGATGGAGAACCAACAACTAACGGATTCGACTCAAGAGCCTTCATTTGCTGACCCGCTGGATGAGACATTATGATTGTCTCAACCTTCAAGACGATGCAATCAAGATGAAGACCTTCAAGAAAGACATGTTCTTCCTCAAATAGATGGCGAGATACAACACATTTGATATCACGATTTGGGAAGGGACTCCCGATGTTTGGTGATTTTGCTAGAGGTAGGGACAACTCTTGATGGTGTTCCAAATATTCTATTCGAAGGAAGTTACGAAGGCCTCAACAATGATCAAATAACTGGGTGGTCTTCCCGCCTTGGTATGGGACACTACCGATGGTTGAGAGGCCCTATCAATCATCTTCGAAGAGAACAGAGATCAGAGTATGTGGCGAATACAATTCGTCGCATCATAGATTTCCTCAACATATGATGACCGCTCCTCGTGGAACTCGTCTCTAGAAGGGGGGGTAATGTCACGGCCATAATCATGTAAGCTAATAATTACATATAGAAATAGGTAGAAGTAAGTAAAAATAGATAAAAGTAAGTTAATTCTATAGTATTTAATATAGAAGCTTCCTAGGAGCTTTATAGACGCTGCTTTGACTTCATAGGTGTCTTTAATTGACTTTTTGGATTAGAAACGTGGTCAATAAGTTGGCCATGTACCACACATGTTGTTAGCTTGAACATCAAGCTAACTATGTGGCCCACACGTAAAAAAAACTTGCCTTGTAAGTCAAGGAATGTATCCTACAAAGTCAACACATATTGTAGGTCCTATAGAACGTCGCCACATAGTCCCTAATTGGATAGTATATATAGAGACAAGAGTGAAGGCTTCTTCACTCTTGTCAACTCCTTTCTTGCTTCCAGTCTAGTTTCAAGGGTCTTTAGTTTCCTTTTGGCAATAGCCATTCCAGTTTTTCTTTCAATATACATACTTGTTTATATATATTTTGTTACATTTCTTCGACTGAAGGCTCACTTGTCTGAATTGCTTTTTCATCAAGTTCTTCTCCTTGACATTATATCATCTTGAAAGTTATGACAATTGCAATATTTCATTTGAAAACTCAGCAAATGATAATTCTTGAGTTAAATCCATTGGTTGTTGATTCTTCATCTCTTTAGCGCCACTAATACAAAAAAGCTACAAATAAAGATAGAAAGTAGAATACTATCTTTCTTATATTTTGTTTTTTTTTATAACAAAGATTTGTTATTCTTCATCTTGATTTTGATGGATGTTATTGATAAAAAAAACCTCAATCTTCTTTATTGCATTTGCAAGATTCTTTGTTGGCTTCCATGTGCATTTATCAATATCATATCCACAGTAATAAATAAGATATTCTAATGAATTTTGGTGGTGCTTTGAATCTAAGACTTCTTCTACTTCAAATTCTTGATCGTTATCCACTTCTATAAGAAGAAGTCGTATTTATCTTCTTCTCAAGATCTTTCTAATATCTTGTGTGCATTTCATCCATGTGTCCCTTTCATCGATGCATCTATGTATTTATTCTACCTTCACATCCATTGTCAATCTTCGAGCATATTTGTTTCATATACTTTTGATACCTTTAATGCTTTCTACTAGAAATATATATATATATATATATATATATATATTGACATGTTAATAAAATTAACAAATTTTTTAGACATGTTTTATTTTCATTATTCAAATATAATAAAATAATTTAGTAATTTAGGAGTTAATTAGTTCAAAAAAACCTCTAAATTGGTATTTTTTTATATTAAATTGATGATCTCAATCTTCTACAATTTAATTATTGTTAGGCATGTTTGACATTGAATATTTTCATTTAAATCATCATCAGCTTTAGTTTATATGAGAAAATGAAAATTGACATAAAATTTTTATGAATCTAGATTTTCAAAATTGTAATTGAAAAATTATAGTTATTAGAAAAATATTGTTATCTATAGTGCATAAAGTATTTATTATATATATCAAATCATAAGCTTTCATTTAGTTCAAATAAAAACATTCCTAAAAGTTTTTATATATCAAAAATAGATTTTAATATTATTTCAAAATCACAATGAATGAAAGAGCAAAAGTACATAAAAGATATTTATTTTTAATTACACTAATTTTTAAAGAATAATTTTGGACTCAATTTAACCATGCAATTTACAAAATAATTTATTATAATTTTGTTTTGTCCAAGACCAAAAATACATTAATATGAACTTGTATTTCATTTTTGTAATTTATTTAGAAAAATGTTAAATAGATCCAAGCTTTTACTAAATTGATCCACATATCACAAAAATAGGAAACAAAAAAAGAAAAAGAAAAGAAAAGAACATTTGGATTTATTTTTCCACTATTAGATTCAAAATCAATGAAAACCAACCACATTCATCATGATTACTATAATCTTCATAATGGGTAGGTTGATTTAGTAAAAACTTAGATCTATTTAACATCCCCTTTTATTTATTCAATTGTTTGGTAATTGGGTATTGCCCATCCAAATCACAACATCTACGTTCATTGAAGTTCTTTGAAAATGATCACTCAGACCCAAATCATGCAAAGCACAATATACACATTCCAAAAAAATCCTACAAACCTGCCATATCTTCAAAAATTAGTAATTTTCAATTCGACCACAGAAAGAAGACCCATCAGGAAAATCATTCACTCAACTTGATTTACAGGGAATGTAGAATCTGCGTATTTGGTACAAAACTGAAACGCAGGATCTCCGATTTCGAAGGTATAGGCCGAGTGTAGTTTTGAGAGTCTAGAAAATAACACTGTTTTGAGCTTCTTATCTAGGAAAAAGCGAGTTATTGTCAGAGGTTTGTCTATCTTGTGGTGGAGGAGCACCAAAATGATCCGAGCTGTGTCTTTCTGGGCTTCGGGATGAGAGCTATGGTGTGGATTGGTGTGTGAGCTATGAGCGCCGCACCGGGGGTTTCCGATATCGAAGCATCGGGGGCTGCGAGCGGGGAGTTCTGGAAAATTTGTATCATAAAGCCACATGACGACGAGAAGGAGGCGGCGGTGACGGTTGTGCAGTGAGGAGGAGACAGTAGGTGAGATTGGCGGTACAGAAACCTTGGATTAGAGTTTGGGACGGCGTTTGGCTCGATACTGGAATTGATGCCCGAATTGCTCGTTTAGGAGTCCTTAGAGATGGCATAGCGTGTCGCGTGGCGAGGTTTGATGTTGTTGAGTGACAGGACGGTGGTGTTGCACTTGAATTTCGAGTTCAGCCTCTTCCTAAATTCTGTCACTTACCTCTGTTGATTGAAAATGATGATGAGCCGCAATCAGTAGTTCGCGTGGCATTTCGAATTACTCTACCCGGCATATGATATTTGCGTATGTAACTCAACTTGGGAGTGTTTGATCGACGCTGTAAACCGTTCGGTGGTCGTCGCCATCCGGATTCTGTTCTGTTTAAGCATCATTTAATAATCAAATTCTGTACAATCTTTGACAGCACAAGTGAGGCTACCCCTTGTTTTTTTGTTTTGTTTTGTTTTGTTTTTTATTTTATTTTATTTTATTTTACTTTGTTTTTTTTTTTGTTTTGTTTTCATTCTTGAAGATTTGTGACTAAGTTGCTTTGAAGGATTTATTTCCATACATTGGTGTTGTAGAAACAGGAGCCCTCGGGATCGGTACTACGTCAGAGTTTTTTTTTTTTTTTTTTTTTTTTTTTTCTTATTTACAGAGAACTGAGCACAGATTGAACCTCAAAATTTTGACTCATTTTCGACAGAAACTTAATTTGAAGTTATGTTCCAGGGTTGCATGTTGAAATGGCTTATTGCAAAGGTTGTTAGTGCAGTGCATTCTACAATTTTGGTTATTTGAAAGAGTTAATAATCAAAAATAAAATAAAATAAAAAATCAGCTCTTTGTTTGTAACTTTCTTGCTGAAGGAAGAATGGCTGAAAAATAACCAAAAAATTTGTTCATGATTATTTTACCTACGAAGTATTTTTTATTAGAGTATTTATTTCTTGCGTTTGTCATCTGCAGGATTTCTACGTGTTTATTTACCCGGGGCTTGTGATCATCGACAAAGTACATTATAGAGGATCTGGGGAGTAACACTAGCAGTATCTGAAAAAACATTGAGGAGCAACTTTGTTTATGACCCGCTATGCCAGCAATGTCATTAACAATGTCATTTGCGGGTGCAGTGGCGGGGTTGGATTCTCACATTTATGCCCGCGCCAGCACCGCAGCTCAGGGTCGCTACCATAATCACCCAGTGCCTACGTGCAGTCGGTTAATCATGCAAGAAACTCTTCTTTCCAAGTCTCTTGCAGATAACGTATCGACTCATAATTCAGGGAGGAATTTTGGAGCCAGCAAAGATAGGAGACTAAATTACGGAAATGGCTGCAAACGTGGAGTTTGTAGATGTTTCGGGGCGGGAAATACTGGTAAAGATGGTAACAACTATGAAGAGGAGATTAACAACGAAACCAACGACGAAGTAGCCGGGACTTCGGATAGCGACAATCAACTACGGCAAAGGAAGGCGGGAGTACGTCCACTAACTTCATGCATGCTCCTACGAGGGTGTTAGGAACTTGAACCTTTAGTAGAACCTGTAGAAGTCAAACAAGACTTTTGAAATTGAAACACTCTTCATGAATCATGGTACTTAATAGTGGTTTAATACAATGAATATATTCAAGGTCTAAAAAGTCCAGGGGTTTTACTGACACAAAAATTTCCCTCCTGTAAACTTAGAAAGTGAATGCACTCTAATGAGTCTTTTTAGTAATTATGTATATCGACGTGATGCTGTGCATGGCACCTCACTGTGCTTCAACCTGCCAGGGTCATGTGGCCTTGCCTTGGCTGATTGGCTGAAAGGACAATGCAGGCAACAACTGTGAAGATGGGAAATCCATTACGTGAGATGATAGCTACAGCAGGACAACGGTTGCAAGACTATTTAGAGAGTTACAAGCAGAAGACAGGGATTCAGGCTGAAGAGGTTGCAGTGTCGAATACGGTGACCAAGGAAGAAGCTTCCTGGAAAAAGCTACAGGAGCTTTTCTCTGAAGTTGACGAGCTCCAAAACGCGATGCAAAAGCTGCAGGTGAATAGGCGTTTGTTTTAGGGTTTAGTGATTCTGCGAAGGTGCAAACTGGTGACTGTTGTTTGGATTGTGCTTCACATTCAGTGAAGCACAACGAACAACGCATCCCTTTGCAGGGCTGCTGCACCTTGAACATGGCATACCTCATTTGGATAGTCGAGGATCTTTAATGGTACGAAAACAAGTAAATACTAGCCTCTGGAAAAGTAGTCCTCAAAATGCTAACATTTTGAACTTATTTGGTCTCAGTGATATAAGCGATCTGGGTGTGCGCTGGGGATGATTTTCTAAATTTCGCGTTAGTTTGTGTCAAGCTTCTCATCTAGACCTGGATACAAACATCATTTTAGTGATAGGCTTTTGTTCATTGATGAGTTTAGTTTTATGAGCTGCTGTCTGCATGCAGTTTCAACTTGAAGAGGCAATCAACTTGGAGGAATTTGAGGAAGCTGGGCGTATCAAGAAAAAGTTGGCTGCCTTAATAGCAAAGGATTTGGTTGCAGGTGCCATGAGTGATTTTAAGGTGCAACATTCTACCATACCTTTTGTTTGTCTTGTTTGCTTTGTATTCTTTGGGAGATTTCATAGTGTAATCTGAAGTTATTGAGTTGTAAACTTCATCAAAGAAATTTTCATTTTGAGTTGGGAACATTACTTAGCATATAGTAAGTTGAGGTCCCTTTCGTATCTTTTATCTCAAGATCGCAGTAATGATATTGCTTTCACAGGCCATGTTATTGTATTAAACAACTAAGTATCTCAATACGAGTTTTATAGCTTTAATGCACTATATGGAATTTTGGATTGGCTACCAGGATTGTTTCAGGATATCTTGTTCTTCATAATTTCTGGAAATACTACGTTATTACGTATGCTGAAAGTCTTGGTTTGTGTTTTTTCTTAGAAAGCATTGAAGGAAGAAAGATACGGTGATGCCGCTTATTTGCGGGACGAGGCTGGTGCTGGTCTTGTGAGTATTTATTTCCTGGGTTTATTTTCCTATCTTTTGCTGCAAGTACCAGGCATGGCAGACGTTTGAGATTCTGTCTGTCGATCATGTATTTGGTTCAGATTCTGTGCGTTAGCTTGACTAATCTAATCCAATTTAGAAGAGAAACCAGGGAAATTTCAAGAGGAAGCTTTACCTTGCTCTTTATTAACTAAATTATCAATTACAAGAAGCATTTTTATCTTCTTTGCGTAATTTAGATCTTTGTCTTGGTTATTTACTTGGAAACTGTTGCGCATGCCGGATCTATGAGGATGCTTATTCAGTGTTTTTTGATCAGGTGGGCTGGTGGGCTGGTGGGCTGGTGTGTCTGAAAGCGATGACGACCCATATGGACGCATCATTAATATCTCCACTTCAGAAGGCAGGTTCATTGCAAAAGGTTACAGCGCCAGGTGAGTCATGGGTCAAAGTGGATAAGTACGTCGTTTAGTTATTTATTTATTTATTTATTTATTTTTATTTTTTAATATAGTTTTTATAGTTATTTATTTATTTTATAATTTATAATTTTAAATTATGATACTTGTTTTCTTCGACCTTTGTGAGATAAATTATTTGAGGATGCTCTTTTATGAAGTATATTGAGATCTTGATGATTACTCTGCTCTGGGAGCTGATTAGTAGACTTAGTACCCTTTAATTCGAAGTTATATTATCATCTGCTTGCTTGCATCACACTGTGATGGTTGACGGATAGAAACTGCACTGAAGGATGTTGAGAAATATCTTTTACTTGGCCTTTTCTTAGAATTTCGTGTTCTACATCTTTCAGGCAACTTGCTTTGGCAGCATCAGGTGTTCCTTTATTTGAGGTATATCTCACAAAGGACGAAGAAAACAAGTATCAACAACATGCTGTTTATCTTCAAAGGGATTCAAATAATGCAGCGGATTCAATTGTGGGATTCAGCAAAGATGTTCTTGACTTCGAGAATATGTTGGGAGAAGCCAGCAAGGATATGCAGCTCAGTGGTAATGATGTGCTTGATTTTTCAAGCATGTTGGGAGAAGCCAGTAGGGATATGCAGCTGAAATTGGAGTTACTGGAGGATATTCAAGAAGATTACGAGAGAGGTATTAATGAGATGGAAGGTCTCAGAGATGACGAAGAATACGTTGCAATGGAAGAAGGTCTTAAGAAGATTCTTGATTTTCTGAAAGATCGGATGCCGGATGTAAAAATGAAAGTATTCCAGGTTTGTTCTGTCATTCAACTCAACGCTTGAAAGTTTTTGGGACCTGTTACGTTGTTAAACTTATCGTATAATTCTTGTATGCAGTTGTCCGGAAGGCGTTTATGCCAAGTGTCTGATGTACTTGCATCTGCATTTACGGAAGAGTTTCTGGCGATATTTGATTCTCCTGTTCTTCACTGTTTTAACAGGTAATAGCGAATGGTCAGATAGAGGCTGACTTGCCAAATATAGTGGAGCAGTTGATGGAGGATGCAGAAGATGAGCTTCTGAGGCACGAAGAGTTGGCTGGAGCTGGCAAGAGCAATTCTGGTTTGCAATTTATCCAGTCTGTTGATGGATTTCCACCTATAGGCAGCTTCTCTATGCCAAGTGATGGTGATTCTGGGTCGGTAGAGGTAGAAATCTTAGGGGATGAGTACCATTCAAGAGCGCCGCATCGTGTGCCTGCTTACATTGAGCGCAGGGCAAAAGATAAATTTGTTTTCCACATAGAGGAATCCAAATTGCTGACTGCTGCGGAGGATACGGATTCATCTGTAGCATTGGTAGCCGGCATTGAAGGATCTTCTATCAATACCAGATCTCTTGATCCACTTGAAGAGTTTCTGCAGAATATAGACAAATCACTGCAGGTTAGGAGCTCTTTTTGATCACTCTATAGGAAGGACGTGGGTACTCGTGGTGTTTACAGCTAGGTGACATTCTTTTCTTCAAGATCAATCATTGATGGTCCGGTGCTAACAAGAACCGTCAGAAATTAAGTATTCAGAAGTTTCGTATCCTTGCTTGCTTATCTCTAGTCAATGACGCCTCTGTGTTAATAATGGCAATGATGTGTTTTCAGGCCGGTTCAGTGGACTTGGAGGATTCAGAGGAGAGCGATACTGATGCGGTGGAGATATCAAGCAAAAATCTAGGAGATCTTTTAGAAAAGGCTGTGACTAGGGCCCAACAACGGCGGGGTTTGTTCAAGAGCACACTGTTCCAACGTATTAATATATCAGCTTCAGAGAACGATCCCTTTTCTGGTATGTCCTAGTTAGAAGTATGCTACGAGGGTTCTGCAGAAATAGCTCAAATGAATTTCAACTTTTCTGATAGAACTAGAAGTTCGATTTTTGCCTTGTGTATCTTGCATCTGTTTAATTTAGATGACGTCACTTTTGTATATTTTCAATATGTATCACATGTTTGTATTACGCTCAGGTGTCTCTTCTGCTTTTTGGAGAGAGTCATATCCCTGTTTTTTGTGCAGGATTGTATATTGGGTCTCTGGGACCCCAGTCTGCAGAAGTAGTGCAACTTCACCGGAGGTATGGTAATTGGCAGACTGCTGATACCTTGTCTGTTAATCAAGTGTGGGAATGCTTCGAGTATGTTGAAGCTGTAAAGTTGACCGGCGATGTGCATGTGCCTGCTGGCGAGGTACTTCTTTGAATCGACAGACAAGCTTTTTCACTTCATCTCTTCTATCTATACAAACCTTGACCGAGCTTTTTGTGATGGTTGAAATTGTCTCATATTACTAGAACGGAGCTGAATTTTTGAAGCTGCGCAGGTATCTTTCCGTGCCAAGGTTGGGAAAGGAAGTCGATTGCCGCACAGGGGGGTCTATCCAGAGGAGCTTGGTGTGGTAAGTTTTTGGCTTAAACGGAAACGAACTATGAATGCATGCAATCACTTGCTGCTCGCACATGGGTTAACACAGAGTATCTCCTTGTATTACTGTTTTATTGCTTGTCGACTGGGATCGATTTTTGATTTGAGAAATACAATTGGTTGACCAGACTGCGAGGTACAAAGGACAGGCTAGGATGGCTGAACCAGGTTTTAAAAATCCTCAATGGGTGGATGGTGAACTTGTCTTTCTAAATGGCAAGGTGTGTGCACATAGATTATCCACGGATTTATTTGCTTTTCCAATAGCGTGTAATGCTGCTGTTAAGCCTTCCAACATAAATGGATATTGGTTCCCAAGTGCAAGTTTTTGCTGGTCATGTCAGATGTATTGCTTACTTTTCAGCAGGTCTTGTCGTTTAGGACCTATTGAAAAAGTTCCTGACTCATTTGTGTTCTTTTGCTTGCAGGGAGGCCCGACAATTGGTGCTGAGCTTGGTTTTGTCTATTTCGGACCAGGAAATCATTTTCTTGTATTGTTTGGTAGACTCAGACTGAAATGTTGAGTGCCTTGCTACTTGGTCTAGCAACTGTACGGTGTGTTAGCACCTCATTCCTCATGCTTCATCAAAATATGAGCGCTTTACAATCAACTTAAATGGCCCCAACATGGTATCTACTGCAGGGGCATATCCCTAGGGAAGGAGTTTTGTAGTTTACAACTTTCATTTTCAACTAATCTTCGAGTAATCTGTCCGACCTACAACACTTCTACTTGAAAGCTTGAGTTGTGATGGAAAATAGAGAACAATAGCTTTTATTAGAGCGGTGGCCTGATGTGAAATCTAGAGCTTTAGTAAGGCTGTCAACACAGTTGTGTTGGCAAGTATCACGTCTAGTTTACTAATCGTCACCAGATGAAAATTATGGGCAGTACAGTTTGCTTTCGGCTTCCCGCTGTTTTCAACTGTAAATTAAACAGAGATGTTGCTCTACCCTCTCAATTGAATAATTGCTCTGACTAGCAAATCCACATGTGAAAAGCGAAGCAGATTCCGTGTGTCGGTGATAAGGTAGACGTTCCTCATCACTGATTAACAGTAGGTAGCTTCTGGATTTTTTCCACTTGAATACTTAAAATACTTAGAGAATCCACGTTTAGAACAATGCAAGGGAATCACCCAGAATGCGTGTTTTGGTCAGTCTTCTTGATCATATCTGTGACTTTTGATGGTCTCTCTGCTATGTTAAGTATTAATTCAATCTTTCCATCCATCTGATATTATTTTTTGTTCATACTTAGTTTGGTTAGAAGATAGTCATAAATCTAAATTTATTCAAGATCATAAAGTCTTAAAGAACTAAGAAACTAATTTTTTATGGCAATAAAAACATGACATATTTTATCCTAGTTTGAATTGAATTTATCTTTCATGTTGTATTGCCTTAATTCTTCTCAAATTTACAGAACTTTACATTAGTTACTTTCATTGAAATGGTTGCACTTTTTAAAATTATATAGAAGATTTTCAAAAAGTCTTATTATATCAATGCATACATTAAAAAAATTGTTATAAAAAAGGTAATATAATTGTATTAAATTCTATTTTTAAAATTTCTTTAATAGTACATACAAGAGAGGTATTAATAAAAACAAATCCAATAATAGTTTTATATATGTCATGTATGTGCAAAACTAACATCTAACTATTATTCTATTTTATTTTATAATTTATTTTTAAAAATTGTATTATTTTTCATCTAAAATAATTGAAATACATACTAGTTAGTTTCCTCAAGGTTGCATACACAATTCTCCTCTTGCCAAAGATATCATGATGGTACTTTTTCATCTTAAAATTTGATTGGATTTGGAATTTTCACCATTAACTATTCACCGCTTACTATAGTCAACCTCCTTCTTGGAGAGTTCTTCAATATCATAATATCATGTCACAAGGACATCCAAAAATAAAAATTATAATATAAAGTAGCCATTGGAAGAAATCCAAGACAAAAAGTAGAATCATTTAATTTTAGAGTGTATTAAAGAACATCCAAAGAATTTAAAAAAGTCAAGCATATAAGTCTTGTTAAAATTCTATACTATAGGACTTATGAGTGTTTTATAACTCATTGTCATAATATCACAATGTCTTGCAACAACTACATTGGTACACAAATGTTTTTTGACAAGATAGTACATAATCTTAAAAGGTCTAATGGTGGCTTTTGAAAGATTAGTTTGAAGTAACTTTGTATTTCAAAAACTATGTTCATTGTGGTGATTAATAAATTACCATATATGTATGATGTATATATATATATATATATATATTAGAAGAAAACCATTTAGTAAGCTAAATAATTGTCAAAAATTATTTAGCTATTGAATCATTTGTTGCTAATAAAACATTGATTATGGATTTTTAAAAAATAATTTACTTAGATTTATATATCTATTTTTTAATCTTTTTATTTTTTTAAATCTTCAAAATAGGTGTTCCACATATTCAGAAAAATGATAGAAGAGGTGAACAAATGTTACTTGTTTTGTTAACATCACATTATTTTAAAAGATGGTTTTATGATTTACTCATCTAATAAATTATTTTTCTAGAATGGAAGGTCCAAATTATTCAATATACATACATACATACATACATACATATATGTATAATATAAATAATAGGACTTTTTAAGTAATCATTCATTAAGCTCTATGTTCTCAAAGAGTAGAATTTGCACATGTTCTTTGTGTTCCAAAGACTCCTTAAGAGAATTATGTATAATGTGAATACCCACAACCTCTGATAATTTAGTGCTGAGAGTTTGAAAATCCAACAAAGAATCGAAACTATTCACTATCAATGCTACTTCAATGAAACAACAATTTGTGAGTACCTCTTATGTTGAATTTACTAGAAACATTACAAATATTGAAAATACAAGAAAAATTAGAAACACAAGGAATATTAGGAACAATGGGAACAATAAAAAGGAACATTAATTTAATTTAGTGCCAATCACAAATTTTATATAGTGCCAAGAACCTCAATACATACACACATATATATATATATATATATATATACACACATACATGCACATAGATATAGATACATGCACACACACACACACACATATATATATATATATATATATACACACATACATAAACATATTAGATTTTAGAACTTTGAAGACAAAAATTTAAAAAGCCACTCTATTTATATCACTTTCTATAGTCACATTAATACAAATCTATAAACTATAATAGCCTAGGAATAATTTATATTATTTTATTTGAACAAACCATATCTACTCTTTATTGTTGGTCAAAATATAAAACAATGTTATACAACTTTGATTGTGTACAAGTTTATTAATATGTTTAAGTTATTAATCATGGCATTCAACTAAAAGCCACATTATTTTATGTTATTTTTATTACTTCTATAATGATTTCTATTATAATAAAGGAGATGCCACTCTCTTGTACTTTTTTCTAAAGAACTTAGAAATTTCTCTAAAAGAAAAAATAGAGAAAATTTTCATGCTTAATAGTTTTAAAAGTTAAAATATTAATAAATAAAGATATTTCAAATAATTTTATAGCTAGAATTTATTAGAATTTTATGTGAATTCAAATAAAAAACTAGTGTTTCATAGTAGATAATTTTAAAATTTGAAAAGATCTTTTAATTTAAAAAATACTAAATTTTTGAAAATATATTTTGAACAAATGTAAAAATATTAAAATATTTAATATATTTAAAACTTCTTTATAAATTTATAATTTTTTTTAACATTTGAATGATAAAGCAATTCAATTGAATAAAAAACATATTTTTTTCAAAAAATAAAAAAATTAGATATCATTAAAATCTACTATGTACCTATTATAAATAAAAATAAATATACATTTGAATTAAAATCTAGTTTTTATATCATATTTAAAATTTAAAATATATTTGATATAATACAATTTTTACATTAAAAAAATAGTTTAGGTTTTATCTAAAAATAAATAAAAATCTGTGTTTAAATTAAGAAACTTATCAATAAAATATTGATTTCTATCTAACAGATAAGAATCTTGATAATTTTGTATTGTATATTTTAATTTTTTAGTTAGAAAAATAATGTTTTTGTTCTTGTATGCAATAATTTTAAAGTATAAAATTTTGTCTGTGTTCTCTCAATCAGCTGAATAGAAAACGATGACAAAACAAAACAGTAGAGAAAGTTTATCAACAAATATTATGACTTTAGAATATAAATGATTACATCAAAAAATACATTTTGGTTGAACTTGTTAATAAAGACAAGGTAATAAATTGAAATCTTAATATGTGTGATGTACGAATTCACATAATTGAGATGACGTTGAATTTGCACGTATATATTGAAAGAATAAAGTATCATTTAAGTTCTATAAAATTTAACATTGATTATCTGCAATTATGTCATATTTGGACATCAAAACAAATCTTGATTTCTTAATTAAAAAAATCAAAGCAGAACAAGGTGTATATATTAAGGTAAAAGAATATAAAAAATAAAGACAAAATTTTCAAAAAGTTAATAGAAATAATAAAACATCAATTGAAGTTTTACCTCAATAAGTTGTTTTTATTGTTATTAGTATTATTATTATTACTACTATTTTTGTTTTTTCCAAAAATTTAAAGATATTTAATTAATATAAAATTTAATTTTTAGTAGCAGAAAATATTTTACTTCTTTTTCAAGCATAATTATTTTATTATAAAAAGAAATCACTTATTTTGTGCAATTTTCTTTTTTAAAAAACAAATCCTATATTAAAATGTACAAATTCAAAGTTCTATAATCACTCCATTATTTCTTTTATTTTTCTATTTAGATAGTAAATTTTATTTTTATTATTGACTTTGATTTTTTCAAAAGTGTAATTTGAAATTAATATGGAAATATGGTTTTAAATTTTTTTAAAGTAATTTAAAAGAAAATTGATATTTTTTTTTTATTTATATCTTCTTTTTTTATTTTTTTTCTCTCTCTCTCTCTCTCTTGCTATATATATATATATATATATATATATATTTACATACATACCTAGTACTAATAATAATATTAAATTTGTTAGGATTTACTAATGTTCAGTAAAAAATAAAAGCATATAGATATATGGAAAGTGTTGGGAATTTATTAATGACTTTTACATAATTTTAAGCTATTGATTTATTTTTTCATTTATATAAAATCTTCTTAAATTTTGAATAATAATAAAATTAAATTAACATAAATAAATAAACAAAATTATTTTATTTTAAATATATGAATAAATAACTATCATAAATTCATGATATGAAGCAAAACAAATCTCCATACATAATAAATGGTAGATTAAGATTACATTAAAATTTGTCAAATCATACAATTATATGGTATTATTTCAAAAGTCTAAATAAAAGATAAAGCTTTTGTCTAATTTAAAAATACAAAGATGGTAGTATTAAATTATTTTTTTGGATATTAAAAGATAAAAAATCTATATATATATATATATATATATATATATATATATATATATATATATATATATATATATTTGTATTATAATTTTAAAATTTTAAAATTTTAAATATAAAAATTTATTTTATAATTAAAACTATACATATATATATATATATATATATATATACATAAATATGAATTTTTAATAATAAAATTCTTATAAAATTAAAAATTAAAAATATTTATGTATATATGGATATAGGTATATATGCATATATATTTTTGAAAATAATATATTAAAAAAAGACACACATATATATATATATATATATATATATATATATATTAAATAGACTCAAATATCAAGGATATGAATTTTAAAGAATTATAAGATCAATCAAATATCAAGGATATGAATTTTAAAGAATTATAAGATCAATAAATTCTTGTGATGTTCAAAAAGACTAGAAAATCATTCAAAAATCGTACAATATTAAACTAGAATAGCTATTGCAAAAGACAAAGAAGACA